GGGTGGGAGTACTAAGGATTAAACCCAGAAGTGCTTAACCACTAAGCCATATTCCTAGCCTTTTTATGTATTTTGTTTTGAGACAGAGTCTCTCTAAATTGCTCAGAGCCTCTGTAAATTGCTGAGGCTGATTTTGAACTTGCTATCCTCCTCCCTCAGCTTCCCAAGCCTCTGGGATTACAGGTGTGTGCCACTATACCCGGCTTGAAAATATTTTTAATAACATAACATTTTTATTAGTAGCAAAGGACAGAAATTTATAACAAATTGTATTCACAAAATCTCCTCCATAAAGTAAACCAGTAACTGAAATTCTTCAGGAATATTTGGAATTATACTACGCCTAATTACATATTTGTTTGATTTTTCAGTGGTTTTAGTAACTTGTGCAAATTATTTACGTTTCTCAAAAAGTAATAGGAAGAAAAATACTTCATCAATTTTATTAATATTCTGAAAGTGTCAGTTTTCTAAGAGTATCAGTAAAATTATATAAAGCAAATGATAAGTCTCTCTTGACTCTTTTTTTCATTGGAAATACCATATTGTGCTATATGAACTATTGTTTTCCAAGTTCTGAAGATGAATTTGAACATTTTTTAAATGCCTGCATGATCAAATTTTACATTAATTTAAGTAGTTAAGATAATGTATTTATTTTAAGAGGCATTAGATTCACATGAAATACATCACATTCTCTTTTCTTGAAAACATAATAAATTTTAGGGTTTTTATGAATGTTTACCTTTGAGGAAACAGTAATAATTTTATTGTACCCTTATCTCACTAGAACATATATCACTACCATTCAGTTGAAAAGAAGACTTATTTTTATTTTTTGCAAGAAAAATAACATAAAAATTGTTATTTGAGCCCAGTAAAAGTGATCTTATTTTAAATTTACTTCCCTAGAAAACAAGAGAACCATATTTATCTCTTGTCTACTTAGTCTTAATACTTACTATTCTTGTTATTATTGGTTGAAGCTCTGTTTGGGGACCATTATTTCTCTAAGTATGTCACATGAATCAACCCTAATCTTGAAACAACTCTGCAAGATATGGATCTCTTTTTTAAATGTGAAAATAAGGTTTCAGCGTTGCATACTCAAGTATAAAACTCTCAAAATAAATTTAGTGTGACAGAATTTAAATAGAACCAGAAGTTACGATTCCATCACTGATGCACTGCATGGCTGATCTCAAAGAGATTATAAATGCACTGATATCAGATTCTAGGAGATTCTTTGAATAATGTGGATTCACTGTATAACTATTTCTTAATATGCTTCATGATGAGTGAGATTACATTATTAAACGTGAAAGGAATATTTTCACTTAAATTCTTTCCAACCAATGTAAATCAAATGAATTACTAAAATGTTATTGTAAAGATTACGGAAGACATTTAATAATTTGGACTCAATTAGATTTCTTATCCTGTATATCTTCAAACTAATTAAAAATTGGCATTTAACAATAATAAAATGATTTTCAGTTCTTTGTGCTTGATGGGAAACCATTAGTAATTTTAAGCAAAACAAAAGTAAAAATTAAAACAACTTCTTGCCTGGAAGTTCTGAATGTAACTTTAAATTGCTAAATTTTGTAGTCAAAACAGAATGAGAGCAAGAGGGTTATTTCATTTAACTTCATTTTAGAAGGAAAAAATGTGAGTTTTTTTTTAATGAACAGTAATAATAAAATCATACCTAGTCAATACTGTAAATTAGTGTTGTATTTAGTACTGAATAACTGAACAAAAAAATGAGGAAGACATGCAAGAATAGGTTTGAGGGTTAAATTAAGAGGTGAATTTTGGACATTTTAGTTAGATATGCTTGTTGTTGCCAACATACTTTTTTAAAAATATTTTTTGGTTGTATATGGACACAATACCTTTATTTTGTTTATTTTTAATGTGGTGTCAGGATCTAACCCAGTGCCTCATACATGCTTGGCAAGTGCTCTATCACTGAGCCACAACCCCGGCTCCTGCCAACAAACTTTTGCATATGCTTTTTTTCTACCTGTGTGTTCTTCCTTCAGATATCCACATAACTTGTCCCTTTCTTTAAGACTTCACTTAGGTGCCACATTTTCAATGAGACTGAAAATTAGTATTATAAATTAGTGTTCTTCCCTGGAAATATAAAAAATTTCAATAAAACTCCCACAACAGTCTATATTTCCTTCCTTGCTTGATTTATTGTCCTTCATTTTATTTGCTACCACCTATCATCCTAACTTGCTATATATATATGCATATATTTGTTATGTTATTTAAAATTACATATAATTTTATAAGTGTATATGACATAATTTTTAAAAACTGATTTTTTAAAAAATTATGTCATCTTTACTAAAATATAAGCTTTGAAGTATTTCATTTTATAGTAGTTTATATTTTGTAACCCTTAGAAAACTTTCACAAATGAGAATAACTAAACATAGCTCTTTTTTTTTTTTTTTCTTTCATTCGATTCTCTTATAGGGAAAACCAGGTCGAAAGGGCTATGTGGGTGAACCAGGACCAGACGGCTTAAAGGTAAAGGATCTGATT